CTTTATTTTTCTCATTTCTCGTATTTTTTTCAGAGAACTTATTCCGTGATGTTGTTTAGTACTTTTAAGTTATTGTGTAAGGGATGTTAACCTTAATTTTTTATTTCGCTTCCGCACTCAAATTATTATATGTATTTTTTTTTTGAATTTCTGAGATCGTTATACTTTAAGTTAGGTTTAACTGTTATAAGTGAATGAGAAAATAAAATATTAGATTAATGGATCATCCACTTAATTATTAAAATTAATAGAGATTTCTAACATAATGAGGGTGATGAATAGAGAAATAATGAACATGAAGTCTTTTTAAGGTTTATTTTCTTTAATTAAGTTTTTTTGTTGACGACTATAACCTTGATCACTTGTTTTTTTTTTTTTTAGTGTATTATATGTAATTAACATATATAAAAATATTTTCAATGTACCACATTTATATTTTTTTTAATCTAATATACCAACATAAGATAATGCATATTTTCGAAATTAAAATTATAAATGCACATTGAGAGAAACATGTGAAACTAATAATGGGTTTTAAGATATGATATTTTTAAGTAGTAATTATTAGGTGTAAAATAGAGTAATAAATGACATATAAAAATACATCATTTTAGAAAATTATTTATAAGTTAATCTCTAAAATGTTTTACCATAGTAATGATGATATTTAGAGATATAAATTCAATTTGTGTGATATTGTTTTTGATGTCCTACTTACAGGTGTTGAATAAAGTAGTAAGTGACGTATAGATATATTCATTATTATTTATAACATTTTAATAAATTATTTGTAAATTAATCTCCAAAATATTTTAATGATATTTAGAAATGTGAACTCAGTTTACTTGAATTATTATGTTTGGTCCTGTTTTCAAAGAGGATGGAGGTTCAAGCTTTACCACATAAAAAAAAAAAAATTTAGAAATATGAGGTTATTTATTATTTTGCTAATAATAATTATTTATTTAAAATAACAAATAAAAAAAAATATATATATATTATTATTTTTTTTCTATATAAACAAGAGTGATTTTTTATTTTATTTTTTTTTCAATCAATTCACAAAAAATTCATTGTTTAAAGATGAACATTAATGCAAGTTATCCATTAAATTGTCTAAATATATTACAGATGAAGCGTGTAAAGTATCTATAGTTAATAAAGTATGAATAAAAAATTATAAATTCAAGACGGATATACGATGCATATATAAATTTGATGATAGATTTATCCTGCATCTGCACCCACTTGCGCCCATTATATATATATATATATAATTAATAATTTTTTAATGTTATTTTAATTTTTATTCAAACTAACTAAATTTTAATTAATAATATTTTTATATTTTATATTTATTATTAATATTATTTTTAAAAATATAAAAAAAATAAATAAAAGTGATAAAAAACTAAAGTATAAATTTATATTTTTATTAAGAAGACAAGTATAAAAATTAGTATACCTATTTGGGTCCGTACTCATCCCGTCTGCATCTTAAGCCATTAAGATGAATTAACATCAACTGGAAGTTGATCCGGGAGAGAGTTGAGTTCGAAGCTGAAAAAAAGGAAAAAAGAAAAAAAGAGTCAAGAACTCTTTTGAGTGTTGGTTTTTCCTTCACGTTTTGGCCTCATTTTCCTTGGAAACAAACACAAATATCATCTTTCGTCTTCCTCATTTGTCTACCCACAAAACCCATAAACTCAACTTACTAATCATCCTCCATATCACATCAAGATCCAATGGATTTTCTCGAACTGGAAGCGATCGAGGGTCTGCGATGGTCATGGAACTCATGGCCGACCACCAAAGCAGATTCCCAATCCCTTATCGTCCCTCTAAGCATCATGTGCACCCCACTTATGGAATCCTCCGAGCTCCCGATCCTCCCTTACGACCCCATCATCTGCGCCCGATGCGGCGCCGTTTTGAACCCTTACGCCCGACTAGACTACCAGTCCCGCATATGGGGTTGTCCTTTCTGCTTCCATAAAAACATCTTTCCTCGTTCTTACTCAGAAATTGCAGAGACCAACTTACCTGCCGAGCTTTTTCCCACTCACAGTTCTGTCGAATACGCTCCCGCTCAAAAAATAGCCAGCCCGCGGGGGAATTTGGCGGCCGGTTGGGCCAATGGAGTTAATAGGTTTTCGTCTAATTCGTTGTCGTCCATGGTGTCTCCTAGGGGCTCGTTTTCGTCTCTGTCTGGTGGTAGTGGCGGTCCTGCCGAGTTCGGGCCAGCATTCGTGTTTGTGGTGGACGCGTGTATGGAAGAAGAAGAACTGAGGTCTGTGAAGAACGAGCTGCTACTAGTGGTGGAGCAGTTGCCAGAGAGTTCGTTGGTGGGTTTGATCACGTTTGATGCGATGGTGAGAGTCCACGATCTTGGGTTCTCTGAGTGCTCGAGAGTTATTCTGTTCAATGGCGAACGGGAACTTTCTCCGGAGCAGGTACTTATTACTTAGCTCGAAATCCCAATCTTCCCTTTCCACATTTTAGTTGTATGTGTTGGATGGCAACTTGGTAATCTTCCTGGCAATGAATATTTACTTAGTGGTTAACCTGAGATGCTGATCTTATTGGTGTTGCACTTAGGTACTTATTCGTCGTAGTCTCATTCATCTTTATTCTTTTTTCATTTCCTATTTCTGGTTTTCTGCTTCAAGATATGAATTAATGATATTTCTCCCTTTGTTTTTTGAAAATTTAGACCCAGAAATTTCTTGGCATTCACAAAAAGCAGCAGCAGCTTGGAAAGACGTTAGCTATTCAGAAGCAGAGTTTCTTATTGCCTCTGTCTGAGTGTGAGTTCAACATCACCACGGCAATTGAGGATATTAGTTTCTCTGCACATATCATACCCGGCCATCGGCCTAAGAGATCCACGGGTGCTGCAATATCAGCTGCAGTTGGGCTGCTTGAGGGATGTTTAATTGGTACAGGCTCCCGGATCATGGTTTTCACATCTGGGCCTGCAACAGTGGGTCCGGGGATTATTGTAGACTCCGATCTTAGTAATTCCATAAGAACACATAGAGATATCATTAATGGTCATGTGCCCTACTATGAAAAATCTACTAGTTTCTACAAGAGATTGTCTCGGAGATTATGTGATTTATCTATTGTTCTTGATTTGTTTGCTTGTTCTCTTGATCAAGTAGGAGCAGCAGAGTTAAAAACCCCAGTTGAGAGTTTGGGTGGGTTCATGATGCTAGGGGAATCTTTTCGGTCTGATCAATTTAGAAGATGTATGCGGCA